CTATGTGCTGTTTGCTCGACACTACCTCTTATGGTATGAATATCCTTATTTAGCGTGCTGTGTAGTAAAACATTCTCAATATATTATTATACTTCTTATAATTCGTCTTCTAATTGGCAACTGAGGTTAGAAGGGAGTTCGAAGACCAATTAATCTGAAAGCCTTGACTGTCATTCATTGCTTAGTGTATAAGTTTGTGAAAATCGGTTCTTAGTCCGACTGAGGATATAATACATGATAATCGATTAGAAATTGAGAGGCTTTGACAAATCCGCAACTTTTCTCCCCACAAGTGCTAGGTTTGAAGATATCACGAGTTCACTTAATCTGAGAACGAGAACAAAGACTCGGTGACCAAAGACCAATGAGCTAGCTATTTGATGCGTTTCAGGCCCGCTAACTAGAGGGAGAAATCCAAGCTTGGAATGTGAAGTATTTTCTGCAAAGCAGCCAGGAACGAGCGATAACAACAAACACCATTCAAAAAGTATATATATAGTACAGAACCATCCTTGGGGAGAGTTACCAAATAGCATACTAAAAGACGCAACGGAACAATAGCATTTAGGATATTTCCCAGTGGGAAATACGACATGAAGGTGACACGAGCACCTTTGGCGCGAAAACAAAGAAATTCAAATTCTCTGAATAAATTACAAAATTAGGTCCTTTCCAAGTGAGTTCTGGGGATCTAACGTCCCCAACAACAAGATACAATAACATACTCTGAATCTCATAATCGAAAAATGTTCTTCTTCCTACCCAACCAATAAAAAAGTAATAAATATAACACTTTGACAGGTTGAAATCATGAGTCAGCTGAAGCTAGACCACCATTGAAAACCTGGAAGCACTGGACGGCCGTTTCGTCCTGGTATGGGACTCCTCAGCAGTGCGCATCCACGATCCCGCACCACGCGGGGTTCGAACCCAGGACCTACTGGCTAGTGGTTAAGTGCTCACGCGCGAAGCCAGTGGGTCCTGGGTTCGAGCCCCGCGTGGTGCGGGATCGTGGATGAGCACTGCTGAGGAGTCCCATACCAGGACGAAACGGCCGTCCAGTGCTTCCAGGTTTTCAATGGTGGTCTAGCTTCAACTAACTCATGATTTCAACCTGTGAAATTTCTAAAACTCTCCACAAGATCCATTCTGATAATAACACTTTAAGATGAGTATCGACTAAATTGAACCAATCTCTTATCAAACTATTTCAATCCTGAACTTTACGATACATTTTTAGAAAAAATAAAATAAAATCAACAGTCAACAACTTACATACCATTGCTTTTTCCTATTTCATATTAAATACTACATTTATACAAAATAGTCCTATATTAGAATATTTCTCAACATTCTACAGCCAAATAATTTTGATGACTATCATTTAACTAATGATACATAGAAATTAACACTAATTATAAATAATTATGATTAAAAGTATAATGTAACGAATAGATTCTAATAATATTTCTTCTATCCTGCAACCGTTCACTACTATCAATTCAATAATTACATAAAACAAAAACAGCATATCAACAAAAATAGAAAGAAAAAAAATTAATTAATGATCGGAAGATTGAAAAATAAAACACAGTGTCAATCGATCCAACAAATAATGAACATAGTCATTTGTGTGTGGGGGGGGGGCCATCATCATCAGCATAATAATAATGAATTATTTACTTAATTTTATCTACTGTTAAAGTATTTAACTGGTGAGAAAAAGACAGTTTAATTAATGGTCTGAAAAAACACTCAAGCAAACAATGAACAGATTATTTATAATATTTATGAAACTACCCAGATATATCGAGTTGTTAATAAATAAAAGTGACAATTGATTTTTTTAAAAATGGTCAGTTAGTCGTCGATAACGTAGGACCAAGAACATATATACATTGGTCCAAGTTGTCATACTTCATTAGTACAATAAGATGAACATCAAATTCATAGTAATTACTTCAATGGTAGTAATATATAAAACAAAAAGGATTGCATATAAGGATATGATACAGAAAGAAAGAAATAGCGCGTAGAAAGATATAAAGTAAATTTAATCTCACAGTTTGAGGGAAGATATAAAGTGTATACACCTATGCTATTGTGGTCAATTCTGAGCCATGTCACTCCGAGTCTCTAACCATTGGATACGATAGTCATGCATACCCCAATCAAGTAATCTGTATCTACTAACATGGCTCAGACTAAAAGTTAGTGACTTTATGGACTGATGCCAATTTTCGGTTTTGCCGTCTCTAACTTTCTTCCATCCGTCTCCAACATTAGTCAGAATTGGATATACGATTAAATATGAAGTAATACTTTACACAAAAATCACTATAAGTCGATGACTCTCACAATGACTTTTTATTATGAATTATGTTCGTCAACAAGAAAAATCGTGTCACAAAGCAAAGATTTTTTCCTTCTAGTTTGAAATTGACCGCAGGACTTCTTGAGTTTTATATTGTTGATGATCTTCACTGAATAATTGAGTAGGAAATGTAGTGATTCATAAAGTTTTTTTTTGTCATACAGAAATAGTAATAATCATAATTTAATCTTGTCTATGATTATGCAATAAATACATGATACTAAGAATTTTCTTTAAAAAAATACAAGAGTTAATATTAAATTTTCATGGGAAAAATGGATTATCAGCTAGCATTAGGATTTAAAATGTACGATTTCTTTCTATTGGGTATAGATCAGTTAGATAATGATTAAGCTTATATTCGAACAATTCGCTTCGAAAGCTGATGCATTTACTAATGAACTACTGAGCTCAGATAGCCACTCACCTGTGCAACGGTTATAATACTGTCATACATATATTATATATATATATATATATATATATATATATATATATATATATATATATATATATATATATATATATATATATATTAAAATCCAGTTAGGATTATTAACAACGGAATAACTCAAATCCATTCTAACAATGATAAAAATTAGTATTAAAGTTATTTTCGTTACCCTCATTCCATCTGGTTTTTAATACAAATGGAGTAGGACTGCGACTACAGAAATTTAAAATGATAGTGGAAATTCATAATTAAGATAGATCGTTTTGGTTAGATTGTATCTTCTATGAGCTCTGTATTTTAATTGTAAATTCTTAATCTTTGTTTGGAATAATATCATTAACACTTCATGTAGAATTAAGAAACTGGTAATATAATGAATAGATTCAAGTAAACAATACCAAGTGATTGAGATCATGAACTGATTGATGTTAGACCACCATTGAAAACCTGTGAGCACTGGAGGCCCGTTTTGTCCAATAGTAGGACTACTAAGCGGTGCACATCCACGGTCCGGCACGCAGGATTAGAACTCAGGGCCTTCAGTCTCGCGCGCGAACGCTTAACCTGTAGACCACTGGGGATCATCATTGATGAACACGGTGGACTTGATGCAGATGTGAAAGCGCGGATCGGTAAAACGAGAGCAGTATATTTACAACTGAGGGACATCTGGAACTCAAAAGAACTGTCAACCAACATCAAGGTCAGGATTTACAACACAAATGTCAAGACAGTTCAACTGTATGGGGCGGAAACCTGGAGAACTACGAAAGCCACCATTCAGAAGATAGAGGTGTTTATTAACAGTCATGACTATTAGCAACGACCTACTGTGCGAAGGAACAAACCAGATCCCAGCGGAGGAAGAAATCAGGAAGAAACGCTGGAAGTGGATAGAACACACATTGAAGAAAGCACCCAACTGCGTCACAAGACAAGCTCTCACATGAAATCCTCAAGGTCAAAGGAAAAGAGGAAGACCAAAGAACACAATACACCGGGAAATGGAGATATACATGAGAAAAATGGAGAAGAATTGGATGGAACTAGAATGGAAGGCCCAGGACAGAATGGGTTGGATAATGCTGATCGGCAGCCTATGCTCCATTAGGAGTAACAGGCGTAAGTAAGTAAGTAATATAATGAATAAATAAGAGAACTTTATGTCGGTTAGTGATTATATTAGAAGTCTAATCAGAAAATCCTTGTACATAAAAGCTCCCCATTTAATTTTAGCTGATTTTGACATATATGGCGCTGACAGAATGTTAACATGTCCATAGAAGTATAATTTGCTTCAGTCAACTGTGTACTACTTTATAGCTGCATATCTTCGCGCCTATAAAGATAGATATTCATGAACTGTTAGAGAGATATCATCGAAACAGTGATCTGAAATAAGGCTATAGAATGAAGTCTTTTGAAAACTTAATTAACATTTTACATTCACATAAAATCACACCTAAATAAAAATAACTTTCACTAACAATTTCAACATACAAAGATAACATTTCCATTTTATTTATAATTTTAATTATCTATCAGTAGAAATTAAGAAACAGAACGAACTGAACAGAGTATGGGAGAGAAAGAAAGAAATTTTTTTAAAAAAAAAGATATAGAGAAAGAATAAAAAGTAGATATATTTAATGTATCCATTTATTATTCTTTTTTTTTAATTTTTATAAATATAGAAAAAAGTAACAACTTTTGAGGCAGCAACAACAAAAAAAAAAAAGAAAAAAACATTATTTGAAAAGTGAGATAAATGTTAAAAGATGATAATAATATTATTATATCTATGTAATAAAGGTAAGAGATAAATTCCACAAGAATCCAGTAGGAAACAATAATAGTAATAGTAATAACAATAATAATAGAAGTACGCAAGAGTGAATAAAGCTGAGAGAGAGAGAGAGAGGATAAATGATAAACAATCAACTGAAAAGCTATAATACACTAATGAAATATAATAAAATACATTTAATATACAGTGTTTATTATAGAAAATATTATGGAATATAATAATAGATAGAAAGAGTTAAAACATTATTAACATTTCAGTAAGCCAGTATACATACATATATGTATGCGTCAAATAAGCTATTTCACTTCACAAATAATAATAATAATAATAATAATAATAATAACAATAATAATAATAATAATAATAAGAAGAAGAAGAAGAAGAAGAAGAATTAGCAAAAGGGAGGATAAAATATACAATAATATGTGTATATTGTATATGTGGTTAACAAAATGTATAATTTTCCATTAACCCTATCCCCATTCCTACCCTACCTTTTACATTCAGATAATTCAATATTTTATTCAGCATAATCAAAAAGACAATATGCATTATCCAGTTTAAAGCAGGAAGTAAATTATTACTGACCATTTGATTTTATTTTTCAAATAAAAAGAAGGATAATAGTTAATTTTCAAGAAATGATCAACATTATCAATAGTCAAACAACTTTTGAATGGATCTTCATGAGTACAGTAGATGGAGAATAGTAAGGATTTCCATAGTGAGAGGGAGAGAGAAATGTTGATTGATATAATCGGGTTTATGATTAAAAAAACAAACAAAAGCAAGAAATAACCAATAATTGGACATGTAAAACCACTAAGAAGACAAGACATATTCGTAGAAAATAAATAACAGACGATTTGGAAAGTAACAAAGTAGTTTATATGAATACATATCTCTACCACTACTACTACTACTACTACTTACACTACTAACAATGAAGCATAATATATTACAGGTGCCCGGACCTCTACACATGTAATTAGGAAAAAACTGATTATCAATGAAATGCAATACAAAATACATATAAATGATAATATTGAAAAAAATACTACTAATAACAATCAAACTCAATAAGTCTTAGAAATAAAACTAATACAGATTGTGGGAAAAAAATGATGAACGAATAAACTGATCAGCACAAAAATCAGTAGGTAGACATAGATTGACAACCATGATATATTGAAGTGAAAGTATGGAAGTAAGGAAAAACCAATGGAATGGAATAATTCAATGACTTCTTAGGAATATATATAAATCCAGTCACCTTACTGTGAATAGTTCAATATTGACAAAGTAATAATGTAATCATCACGCGAGATCATAACATAGTAACGACTAGAAGGACGGACAAGTGAGAACGAACAATAAAAATATTCACTGAGGAAAAAAACTGTTTAGTTTATAAGTGAAAAGCAAAATATTTATAAAAAAAAAACAGAAATACGGTTGTAAGAGACGTTTGACAAGAAAAATAGAAACATTTTAAAGATCTAAACACCCCCAAACACCGATAAAAAGATTTGAAAATGAAATATGATGTAACTAATGAAAAGCAAGTTTTTAATTGATTACTTTACTGATAATTGAAACGAATTGATTACAAAAGACAACGCAAACAATCCAATGAACATAAATAACTAACAAGTATAACTGTATCTATGATGAAAAAAAGTAAACACGAAACAAGCAGAGTACAACAGAATTTCTGAATGAAACAAACAACGAGGTAGATACCTATAAGTTGTGTATACAGTTTTATATATATATATATATATATATATGGATACATACATGTAAGTATGCGTATGTACAACACAAACATAAAGGCGAGTCTACTATGATCCAGGAAAATAAATTTAATGACCGGATTGCGTATGTTTGTATGGAAAATGAGTATTGTTTGATTTTACATAATCGGATTGTTACTGTACTATCATACAATATATGCATGTATGGTGTATAAAGTGACTAGTCAGTTGGTTGTGATAAAAAAATAGGATGGAAATAACTTTTTGATGAAAATGAAGTGAATCGAAGAGAGGAGAAGGACAGTTGAAGGAAGCCCAATCATATAAGATTATAGGAAAAAAAAAAAGTAATTATACATCCCTCTATGTTATAACTATTATTCACTAATATAATCAGAAGCAGCTGATGGATGAGGTAATAATAAAATACCAAAACTTCAGAGGATATATATATATGCATATAAACGAACAAGATTGATTTGATAAATTGTTTCTTGTCAGGTAGTAATGTAATCTGTCCATTGTCCACTTTTTTGCAGACGTTTAATTTTTGCACGTATTCCTACAGGTGTTCGTCTAGATTCTAGAAAATTGTTCATAATACGACGTCGAACTTCTTTAAGCATTGGACAACTACCTTTGGTGAAATAATCTTGGAACAGCTATAACAAAATATTGTAAGATATAAGAAAACAAAGAATAGTATGTGATGATGATAATAATAATAATAATAATAACAATAATAATAATAATAATAAAGATCATAATAATAGTGAATAATATATTCTCGATTAGTTTTGAGTACATAAAACCACTGTTATATTTAATACTAAGCTCTACATATAAAAGCGTTTATTGTAACCAACCGAATGGTTAACACAACCAAACATTGGCCTATTTTATCATCATGCAACTAATTAAACAAACTAGATAGATCATTTATCTTAGCATAAAAAGTAAATTAATATCATGGAATGAAGTTTGTATATATATATATATATATATATATATATATATATATATATATATATATATATATATATTTAGTACACAGAATCTATTTACTATTTTCATTGTTACTCAAGAATAACAATTGTTTTCTCAATATCCATTCATAGTGTAAACAACAGTGGTGTAGATTAAGGTGTAACAATAGTCATTCATTTTCATATTATTGTGATAAGTCTGTTAAACAGACTATGCGAGGATTCTATCTTTTTTTATACTAAGGAAGCGTTAAATTCTTTAATCGAATCCTTATTCATCACAGACAGAATTTATCTAATAAATCATTGAAAATTAAAGATTATTTGATAGCTGTTTCGTCCTAATAATGAGACTATTTTCAGGAGTTCACAGGCAACAACAGCCAAACACAACAGAACTCAAGACTTTATGGTCACTTAATGTGCATTAACTTACAACTACAGCATTGGTATGTAATAATTCACATGTTTAACTCTGCTCATTTCATAGTATAGCACGACAGTGATAACTAACCACATTTCTAATATATTCGAATTCCTGCAACGGTTATCATAGGTACTAGTTAGTGAGAAGTCTTAAATTGTCATTTATCTAAGAAGTCATATGGTAATTTAAACTATCTTCGATATTATTCACATTACACAAATCTGCTATCTTCATTATTATTGCTATCCCTGCTACTGTGGTGTATGCTACTTGTGTTCGCAAATATAAGTAGTATGTAACACAAGTAAGAAGTGGGATGTCTGAGAGCAAGAGGTTGAGAAGATTGAAATGAAGAGATTAGGGAAGGAAATTGAAAGCAATCAAGATAACAACAGGAATGAAGGAACAAAGAAGCCTTTAAGAAACAATTCAAAGATGTGCAAATGGTGTACTTGATGTGTGATTTTCACGTTTTATTAGACCATTGCGTGATTGTGCACTTAAAAATAATTTGGTCCTACGTTAGTATTCCTTCACTAGTAATACTACTACTACTACTACTACTACTACTAATAATAATAATAATAATAATAATAATAATAAATAATATGTATCAACTTCATCAAAGTTATTTCAGAAAACATGTTTGTATTGTCTAAACAAGTTTCGTGTTTACACACAGTGTGTTTCTGTACTAGTTAAATTAATCGACTTAGTTAAATTCAACAAAAAAATTTTTATGCAAATATACGTCAAAGAAAACTCATTACACTCTAGTGAACAGAAATATTATTGATAAAATTAACGATGTATTTGTAATACTTCAATGAATAGAAAATCGAATTTTTAACGTTTGATAGTTTTGTGTAAGTTGATTCTTCAAAGAGTGAATAAATAAATAACCGACTTCAACTGACACACGTTTATGTATTGTGTGTTAGTTCAAACCGACAAACTGTTTATTCATTCTCTGGAGAAGCAAATTACTCAAGCTGTAAAACGTCGGGATTTCAGGTCTCTACTTTTCAGGATGCTGCTAATATATGACTGTAAACTGAGTTGGATCCATGGCAACAACTTTCTAGTTACCCACAAGTTGCCTACCTTTACCATGCAACCTAAATGCGATGTCGACATAAGATCCCAGCTCTTAAAGATTTAGGAAATCCCATAGCTAATCTAAAACGAGGAAAAGCAGCTGGTATTGATGGATTAACTACTTAAATTTTTAAGGATGGTGGTTCATTTTAAGCAGTTGGATGGACTGAGATATCAACTAGAGTCTGGGAATTGGACATGAACTCGTCTGATTAGTCACGAATACTAATTATTCCAGTCTATAAGAATGGACAAAGATCCGCTTGTGATATCTACAGAGGAATTAGTTTAATTAATATAGTATCTAAAATATTGGCCATAAAAATTATCCAATGCTTAACTAGTGCTCGTGAAGAGCAAACTCAGGAAAACCAGGCTGGTTTCAAACCTGGAAGTGGATGTATAGACCAAATACTCACTATTGGGCAGACTCTAGATCATAGACAAACGTTTCAGCGTCCGACTGTGGTTGTGTTCTTTGACCTTAAGGCAGCACACGACTCTGTCGACCGTGAAGTTCTGTGATAGTGTCTATTATTGAAAGATGTCTCAAAAAAGTAAATCAACCATGTATAAACTCTTTATTTGAAAACTACTGGTTGTGTCAGAGCTTATGGTCAATTTTTAATTTGCAACTATCATCAGACACTATTACTTCGGCCGTTTTAAATTCTAATTTTGTTGTTTAACGATGTGAATATGAAGTTAACCAACTAGAACTAACATATAGCAGATTTATGACACATTCTACTTTATTTACGAGTATTTAATTATACTGTTTTCTCTTTTATTTTTTTGTCAACTACAAATCGATGTAAAGTACTCTAGCACGAATTTTAGATGGTTACATAAAAAAAGGATATAAATTGTGGACTGACTGAAAAAGCCACTTCATACAACCAATATATGAACGGGAATGTCACAAAATGTTCAACAACGTATACTAACCAACAACTTATGCCTAAAACATGTTGAAAAAACGACTACATTAAAGTGATTTGTGAATATGAATGTTAGGTTGATTAAACTGGCCACAAATCGAAATTAAACATTTATATGCGAGGTGATAGCAACCTATTAAAATTAAGACAAGTAAGAATACCAAAGAAGTATGAATATAAAGTTGACTGAAAGGGGTAAATGAGTGTCTAAACATCAAAAAAGAATCATTTAGGGATATTTTGATGGAACTTTAGTATGAAATATTATCCATTTTTAAAATTGAAAGCTGAGATTAACGTTAAACAATAGTATGCTAAGGAATAAAGAAATATTAGTTAGTATTTAAAATACCGTCATGTCAGTCAAGTGAATTTTCGCAAACCAGTTATTTGTGTAGATACATGCACACGGAATTACAACGAAGTATCCTAATCACTAGAGTCTAAACATCAATAGAGAGAGGTACCTTAATGGTGAAAGTTTTCATCTTCTAGTTACTCAGTCTTAGGTTCGAACCCTGAAACACCCACATCAGTTCGCGGCTGCCGGATAGTGTTACTAATCCTCATACTGACAGTGTGTCTAAGAACCGAATGTACCCTACTACTGAAGTCAAATGCAATATTATCTCTTGATTTATTGGAGTTCCTATTAAATAAGTCAACATTTTTTAAATCACCCTGTCAAAATAGTAATGATACAACTTGTTTACAAAGCACAAAATCATGTAGTCAGATTTGAATCATACTATATGCGTAAAGGTTAGTGATACTATCCACTAACACAGAAGTGTCAATGACATACTTTAAACAACTGGTAAAATAAAAGTCATCATATTCAATGTCTATTTTACTCTCTTTCTCTATTGGAAAAATTGATTACGATGAAAATTGATATGAAAAATTAGAGTAGATGAATATAATTAAGATTTTCAAGCAACAGAATCTAATGAAATGGTAATGATGATGATAATAATAATCAGATGGAAGAAAAGGGAAGAAAGTCGAAATTATTTATCAGACCAATAAACTTGAAAAAGAAAATAATCGATCTGATCAATACGATACGTTATTATTTCGAGAAAAGGACAGAGACGAAAATATACAAGGGATTGGTTTTTAATAGATTATTTCAGCTTTGACGAATTACTGTTGTGTTTTTTTTTTGAAGAAAAACAATTTAGACCCGAATAAAAAAGGTTAAGAAATAACCATATGGAATAGAAGATTTAAAAAGTTACTTTAGACCATAAAATAGGTAGTAGAAGTGTTATGATGAATTGGGTATTATCTTTTTGTTGTTGTTACTATAACGACATGTTGATCGGTCAGTCAGGTTCAATAACGATGATATGTTTGTGTTCTTTCTTTTCTCTTTTTGAAATGACTAATCTAAATCCACATGAAAATGTTAATTAGATTACTTATCCTACGAAAAAAACTGCAATACTAGTCAGTAGAGTGATGGTATTTATTATATGTGTCCCAGTGTGAAACTCCTCAGCAGTACCAATCTACAACCTCAAGACAGGCGACCGAACCCAGGACCTTCGATCTCTCGTAAGAACATTTAACCTCTAGATCACTGGGTCGCGATCCAATGGTGTGTACAGACACTTTCCATTGTCTGCGGTGGATAACTGACCGACACGGTTGGACTCCACTAATCACGGATTCTAACTAAAACTTCACCAATTACACCTTAAATCTAGTCACTAGTGAGCAAATGACAATTATCAACATATGATTTTGTGGAGATGGTAGAATTCTCATAATTAAACTCATGAACTGATTTTAGCTAGACACTCATTGAAAACCAGGAAACACTGGACAGCTTTTTTCCTCCTAGTGTTAAATTTAGCGTGAAAAATGCATAGTTATTGTTCATTTTAGCCAAATTTTCGTTTCTAATTTCCATCTATTATTATAACTAGTCTTTTTAATTCAAAATTGCTCAACAAGATGTTTGACCACTTATCAATTTGTCCAATCAAATAGCTGGGTTTTCCTAGATCTATTATTTTATTGTCATCATTATTATGAATAATTTGTTATCGGTGTCTTGATAATTACTATTGGTTTTATCATTTGATTTTCTGCTGTAACCATAATAATTTCCACATGTTTCTTGAACTCGATAACGTCAAGGTGTCTATCGCTTGCTCCGTTATTCCATTCATTTATACATCGTAGTTGTAGTTTTTTCATCA